CATCAATGGCCGCCTAGGTTCGCAGGCCCTTGTCTCAATGCCGCTCTGTTTATATTTTTATAGATCAGCGTTACTCAAGCTTACTAAGTAGCGATTATTTCCATAGTGAATGCCTGATAATCGCCCGTTGTGCAGTAATCTGGCCACTACAAAAACTGCGTATTGGTTACGACAAAATTCGCTTGCAGGCACATTTCCGCTATTGTCGATTGACTTATGTTGGATGGTTCATGCGTCATACCCTATGTTTACATCCTTGGGAAGGAACAAATTAAAGCTCGACCGAAGAGTTCGACGATGTCCACAGCTCCACAGCAAGCTGCAGCAGACACAGTGACTTGCGAATGAAGGCGAAATTTCGAGTTCCAGGTGTAAGCATAAATGAAGAAGAAGAGTCGAGCACCGGAACACTGTGTTCATTGTCCTGAGCTTTCAGAGTCATACAGGAGTCCATCGTCAGAGGTAGCGGCAGCAGCGGAACAAGCGACAGTTATAAGACATGCAGGGCAATCATCGACCGACGGTGCAAGACTGGAGGTGATTATGCAGGGCTCTGCACGTCGGCGCCAGATCGATAAATCGATTGACCGAGTTCTCATCCGAGGCCCAGGCCTCAATCAATTCTCGGCCTGTTTTGTTTCCGGCGTGGGCAACTATTTTGGTGGCTGCGAAGTCAAACTCGTGTTCCATTTCGTAGGTGGGAGCGGCCACTTGTGACAATGCGTCGCCTCGTCGCACAGCCGGCTTATGTTCGTGTATGCGCGATCCGAGTAAGAGCTCAGTCTGCCCTCTGTAATTGAAAGGACAATTTTGACACGGAATGCGATACACTACTCCAGATTGTTCATCAGGTTTTAACCGGTCTTTCATTGAAGCAGGAGACACGATCGCCGGGACAAGAGCTTTATTAGCCTGACATTTCGGATTCCTACTCGAATCCATCATCAGAGACAAAAAAGAAGCAGAAACGGGTTCCCCCCTTCATCCTGGATTGTCACACTTGGTGTGATCATTGCTTGATGGCCGACATTCGAGTCGGTAATTGCTGCAATTTCATCACGTGCGTTGGATGTTGGCGTGATGATTGCTCGACCATCTGACGCACCGACCCCGGTGTTGGGAAAAGTGTTCACCTCTGACTTCCGCGCATGGCTTGTTACTCCGCCTAGGCGAAGTTTT